TCTACTTACTGAGTTGTTAAAATTTATTTTTGTGCAAATAGGCACAGCTTGGACTAATTAATATATGTGGTTTACAAATAGTATGTAGTGTAGTAGATGTAGTGGATCACATGAAAGGAATAGTTCACCCAAAGAAGAAAATTTGCTGAAAATGTACTTACCCTCAGGCCATCCAAGATATAGCTGAGTTTGTTTCTTTATCAGAACAGATAAGGAGAAATTTAGCATTACATCACTTGCTCACCAATGGATCCTCTGTGGTGAATGGGTGCCGTCAGAATGAGAGTCCAAACAGCAACACAACAATACTCCACAAGTAATCCACACAACTCCAGCCCATAAATTAATGTCTTGTGAAGTGAAATGCTAAGCGTTTGTAAGAAACAAATCCATTATTAAGGTGAATGTAATGCTAAATTCCTCCAAAGCTGTTCAGCCATTTTTTTAGTTTGACAACCAGAAAGTCAAATATACACGCATAAGTGTCCAAAATATGTTTTCTAAACTTTGAAAAGAATATGTGCTTTTCAGTAAATTTAATAATTATTTTTCAGTCATTTTAATACATTTCAAACAGTAGAACATGTCTCTAGCAATACTAAGGTCATGGGTTCAACTCCCAGGGAATGCATGAACTGTATACATTGAACATCTCAACAGACTCAAGAAATAAAGATGCTTAAATAGCCTCAAATAAAACAAAGACGCATTACTGAATCTTATAAGCTGAGAACGATGAGAATTAGTCAAATGGCATGTGAACGTTGTCTGCTACATTCTGTATTCATGCCAAAGTTTGACAAATAGATGGATTAAAAGTAAAATGCTGCTTTGCCTTCATTGTGTTACTTGATATGCATAGAACACATGATGTGGGAATTACCTGATTTTATCCCTTTAGCCTTATTTACAGGCCTTCTCTGATGTAAACATATTATTCCCATATGAAAGTCTCACTTTGATCGGCTTAATGCAAATAGCCGTGACCACGTATGAAGTGGATTAATGTTCACATTGAGCAGTCTTTACACATTAGCATTGGACTGATGTGTGCACTGGATGCCAACCAGTGATGGTGATACTATGGTTCTTTGCATTTATATGTATTCAATATGCGAACATTTTTATCCAAGTCAGCTTAAAGTGCATCTACATTTTTTCAGTGTGTTTGTTCCCAGAGAATCAAATCCATGGAAGTGAAATTATGTGTGAGCTTTTGATTTATCATTTGAGCAGCTATTTGGAGAGTTTGATTTATTATTTTATCATTTGAGCATTTGATTTATCTCCATTACGTCTCCATTTACTCATCCTAATGCCATTCCAATTATGTCGTTTTGTTTGTGTGGGAAACAATCTGATGATTTTGGAAGAATGTTCATTCATGCAGCTATTCATAATAACCGTGGTTCTCAAGATCCAAAAAGAATAAAATAAAATAAATAAAATAAAATAAAAACCCTCTGCCAAAGCTCTGAAATAACATTCACATTTTAACGACTTTGCTTGTGATATGACTGAACGTGTGAGAAATCTCATTCCTAACTGAACCAAATGAGATTTCAGAACTTTTCCTGAGGGGAAGATTATCATCGAATTACGACTTAAATTTCAATCTCTTCCTTGCACAAACCTATTGTTTGTTTTCAGAAAACATGGAATGTTGAATACTTTAATTGTACTGTTATAGTGCTTTTCATAGAGCTGCATGAAGATTCTTATAGAATTCTCAGTTTGTGTTCCACAGAAAAATTAAGTGCATGTAGGTTTAGAACCCAACAGTTTAAGGAAATCTATGCGTTTAAGTCAGGGGTGCCCAAACGCGGTCCTGGAGGGCCGGTGTCCTGCAGAGTTTAGCTCCAACTTGCCTCAACACACCTGCCTTCAAGTTTCTAGTATGCCTAGTAAGAGCTTGATTAGCTGGTTCAGGTGTGTTTAATTGGGGTTGGAGCTAAACTCTTCAGGACACCGGCCCTCCAGGACCGAGTTTAGGCACCCCTGGTTTAAGTGTATACATACCGTAAATCAAACTACTTGATTTTGTCTGTCTGCATGTAGGCCATCAAGGCGTTCCTGCCCCAGATGAAGGCCAAAAATCATGGCCACATCATCACTATAGCCAGCGTCTTTGGCCACTTCAGCACAGCCTGTGTAGAGGTGAGATATACAGACTGGGTGTATTAGCAACTGAGTAAAATTAGAGTTCAAAGCCCACCTTTAAACTACTGATGTCATAATGTGTGAATTTTAGGATTACTGTGCCAGTAAATTTGCAGCAGTGGGGTTTCATGAGTCTCTGGCCCATGAACTGTAGACAGAAGAGGACATGGATGAAGACCACTCTTGTGTGTCCTTATATTGTGGACAGTGGCATGTTTGAGGGCAGCAGAAATAGGTCAGGAAATTTAAATATGGAAAACTCACACAATTTCTATATACACTACTGTTTAAAAGTTTGGGGTCGGTAAGATATTGTGATATATGCAATTTATTCCTGTGATGCAAAGCTGAATTTTTAGTATCATTACTCCAGTCTTCAGTGTCACATGAACCGTCAGAAATCATTCTAATATGCTGATTTGCTGCTCAAAAAAAACATTTTTTATAATTATGTTGAAAAAAAGTTCTGCTCATTTTTAAGAGTAAATTGCAGTAAATAATCCTTGATAGCACTTTACTCTTGTTGTTTCTCTGCTCCTGCAGGGAAGAGACTGAACTGATCCTGCCTCCACTGCAGCCCTTATACTGTGTAGTAGAGCAGGCCATGAATGCCATTCTCACAGACCAGCCACTAGTGTGCATCTCCAGACTGACCTATACCAGCCCTTCCTGGCCACAGTGTGAGTGCACACTAACATCAACATGCTTGACTTAAAGGGGTCATAGGATGCCCATTTTCCACAAGTTGATATGATTCTTTGGGGTCTTAATGAAAAGTCTCTAACATAGTTTGGTTAAAATGTCTCAATGGTAGTGTAAAAAACTATTTTTTTATCCTGTCAAAAACCTCTTTTCAGATCAAGTCGTTTTTGTAGCATTTTCCTTTAAATGTTAATGAGCTCTGCTGACCCCGCCCCT